CGCGCGTTCGTTCCACGGTGTGCAAATTTTTAGCTCGCACTGCGGGGCGAGAGAGAGAGGGAGAGAGAGAGAGAGAGAGAGAGAGAGAGAGAGAGAGAGAGAGAGAGAGAGAGAGAGAGAGGGAGGGAGGGGAGGGAGGGAGAGAGGGAGGGGGGAGGGAGGGAGAGAGAGAGAGAGAGAGAGAGAGAGAGAGAGAGAGAGAGAGAGAGAGAGAGAGAGAATCGCTCCGAATTTCACTCCTTGGGGACAGGAATTGGAGTCGCTTCCGTTTCTCCGGCACGTACAGCAGTTATTTCAGCGATATAAGGAATTCTTAGGAATTCGCCTTTGGCGATCGAGTGATCTGGATACTTTACCGATACGGGACAGCGCCATGAATTCTCAAGCAGTTTCTGGCTCCGTAATTCCTCACGTATATATCCGAGTCCGCGTCGAATCCCAAACATTTCGCGAGTATGGCAGCCGAAAATCTCGACTGAATCGCGCATAGTTTGTGCGATCGCCGCCGGTCGTACTTGGGTATTCTCCCGAATGATTATCTGAATTAGTGAGCAGACGCGCGGGAACGGAACGGTGACGCGCTCGCGAGACAATCAAGTCGATCCGCCTCGACGTAATTGTACGGAACGAATCCCGAACGATGAAACACTTCCGACGCGCCTTGGCGGGGTTGATAACGAAAATCCCATAACGCACATGGGGTTGCCGATTCACCGACTAACCGTTACGGCGGAGACGCCCCGCTCTCACGTTCCGCCTTGCCACCTAGATTTACTCGTCTCCGAGAGACGCGGCATATTTAGTAATCTGGCACCGTCCCTCGATCCCTCGAGAAGATCCCTCAGTCTCTCTTACCCAGCCAACCCTCCTCCAATGAAAGCTGTCTTTCTTGGGATGCCACGCAACACTCGCGAGGGTCACACACGCTCATTCCCCGGGCTCTGCTGTAATGGGAATTGAAACACGCCGGTGCGGCGATTTACGATCGATATCCGAGACGGGAACTTACGTCCCCAAAATTGTGAACGCGTAACGCATACCGTATCGTACGCGTACCACGGGTATTCGCAATATCGAGAGCGCCTCGTGATTTATCTGTTCTTCGAGCGCGGAGAGAAATTCATTACTTTGGGCTTTCGACTACCAAGCCGTGTACTTATGTATCACGCACGACGTCAAGCACTTGCGATTGCACGGTAATTTGACGCGACAGAGACTGCTTTTTTCGTCTCTCTTTTCCGCTAATCTTCATTCTCGGAGCGCGGGATAAAGCGCCGCTCTGTGGAGAGAAAGAGAGGAGAGATGACTCGGTAAATATTTCAGGATCCGTTCGGGGCGACCGGTCCTGAAGAGCGAGGAGAGAGCGGTCGGAGGCGCGTCTGTGTGAAATCGTAATCTAGGCCTTTACGATAAATTTACGTCGCGTTTCCAACGAGGCATGGCAGCTTTGCTTTGGGATTTATCCCGTGGGAAATCAGTTGGTTTCGTTTCGGTGAGATTCGCGATACGTATTACCGCGTAAGGTAAGGCAAGTTTGAAGGAGGCCGAATAATCGAAATCCGATTTGTTCAAGTCGACATTCTGGCCGCGGATAGGTCGTTCGTCGCGTTTATTACGTTCGAAAATTAACGTCGACGTTAAGCGACGCTTAACGGTCCAAGTGCGAGGTATTGTATCCGAGTATTCCGGAAAATTGACGGGATGCCCCAAAATGGGCGTTGGCCCAAACGCGTTGGCTTTGCCGTATCCTTCGGAAGATATTACGGGATCCACGGGAGCGAAAGTGTGCGTGGGAGATCGACACGTGAGGCGTCGATGTCGCTCGACATCCGCGAGGATGTCGTCGATGTTTCCCTTATTGTTTCTCCGCTATCGCTCGCCATTGACCGGCGTGTCCATTGTGCCGACAGTCCGATTAATGACGTGGCTCCGCTATTTGTTTCATCGCGCTGCTCTTTACGAAGCGCGGACAAACCAAATTGCCTTTCTCGCAGCGGCATTTCGCTTTCCATCCGCGCTGCGCGCCGCCTCCGCGGAATACCGTAATCAGCCCCGGCGTAAAACGCGTCACGAGCCATCGCTGTCGTAAATATTCGCGTTTTTCATTCGGCGCGATATAAAACGTCGAATGCGAGCGACATCGGGTACTACGTAAGCGCTCTCACGTGCTCTTTGCGAAATGTTTCTTCGCGAAACGGCGAAGGAGAGACGTTCCCGCTTCCCGGCGCGCAACAACTCTTCGAAAGGTATTTTATTAACGACGGATGAAACAGACAGCGTGGACAAAAGCTGACGCGCTATATTGTTCGGGCGATACATTGGACGGGACGGAACACGCAACACGAGCCGCGCAATTGCACCGACCTGCATTCCGAATGCACGCGAGCGATGCGGTCGCTGACTGCAATTGTGGTCTCTGCGCGACTATACCGCACGGAAAAACAAATCGGTGAGCCTTCGCCCCTCCCCCTCCCCCCTCTCGCCGACGCGCTTTTCCCGTTGTGAATGTCGCTCGTTACTATTGTTGATCATTTTATTACTCGTCGGATTAAATTCAACACCTTGTCGGATTCGTCGGTTTTCTTCCTTTTTTATTCTTTCTCCTTAATTTGGGTAAGAAATGCGAGAGAGAGAGAGAGAGAGCTCCCCTCTCTCGGTACCTCGGTCGCGGACGCGCCACCTCCTGCAGCAATCCCGGGCGGCATTCAGTTTCTTTCGACGTACTCTGTAAAACCTGGCTTACAGAGATTGCGTAACGCACCAGAAACGAGTGTCTAAAAGCTTCCGTTGCATCGTTCCGACTAGCACAAAGTTTGCGAAGTAATCAGAAACGTGGAAGGAGACCGCGCCGCGCGCGCTACACACATTTATGCGAGTTTGAAACTCCACCTTGGCAACCTCAATCTCCTCCTATTATAACGTCTACGACGATGAACGAAAATATATCCCCGGCGCAAAGTTTTCGGGGGCTGAGTTCAGCGCGAGCATAAGTTATTAGACACGCCCGCGCAATAAAATTATGTTTCACCTGTGCCTGCCCTCGCGGCGGGCGGCGGCGAGTCACGTCAATTACATGATATCGCGTCGAAGCTAAATTTTAATTGGCCCGCCGCGCCGCGCGCGCACAATCGCGTATAACCGAAAACGATCCAACTTGGAGCAGTTTTAAATACAAGTTGGAAAGTAAGTAATTAGCAATTCCTTCCAACTGCTTTCTCCATAACGGGTGAGAGGAAAAAAGAAGAGGGAAAAACGAGAGAACTTCCGGGCATCCCCTAATTGTGACGAGACGAACGTGGTGGAGGATGAGCGCGCGCGCGCGCGCGAGAGAGAGAGAGAGAGAGAGAGAGAGGAGAGGAAGGTAGAAAAAGAAGGAAGAAAAAGATGACATCCGCCGGTGAAAGCGAAGGCACGTGTTTCAAGTATCTTCGCGCGAGCGAGGAATCCTTGATATTAATTAGATGAGCGTCGTAACTCTGAAATCGGAGAAGTAAGAAGCCGAACTTCGTTTGGGAGTTCGTTAAAGGAGTTACTCGCGTTCGTATGGCGGCGGATATCCTAACTCGCGTAACGACTCTTAACACGATGGTCTCTCCTGCCACCCATCCCTCGCACACGTTCTCCCTCCCTCCCATTCCCTGCAGGCTCCCCCTTCCTCCTACTACTCTCTCCTCTCTGTAACGAACGCAAAGTTGCCAGCGTGAAACACGTCCCTACGACCGTGGATGCTCACAATTTGTTGCACGCGACACCCGACGCGTGTCACGGAGGTAGACACGCGAGTCTCCCTTCCCGCCGCGTGTCTTTCTCTCGCTGTTCTCCCTCCCCTCGCGCTTTTCTCGTCTCCCCGGTTGCACCAGCGACAACCAATCTACGGACGACGCGTTAACTTCGAGAGCGCCCGTTTAGCCCATAAAAAAATCCTTCCGCTGTATTTGCACGTGCAGGTGCGACGTGCAGGAGTCAACCACCGGTCTAACAAGCGCCAGGCAAAAGCGAACGCGAACGTTAAAAGCAACGTCCTGCCGCCTCTCTTTATCTCTCTTTTTTCGGTCGCCTCTCTATTAATAAAATCCTGACGCGCGACCTTCGCTTGTTGGAAACGCGTGAAATTACTGCCGTATTCATGAAAAATTAGAAATGCTACGAGTCCGTTCTTATCTGATTAATTTTTATAGCGTAATTAAGGAACGCAACATTAACCGTCATCAGCGACATAAGATAAATAGCTGCTTGTGTGCCGGTCATCAGAGAAGCGTTCGTTTCGCGCGGTTCGCATTATTTTATTATTTCACATATGTACGTTCTGTTCAAAGCCAAAAAGGGACTGCTATTACCGCAGGTACCGCTCGCTATTACACGAAAATTTTGTTCTGACCGGGCAGACTTTTAGATGAGGTGTCAAAAGCATCTCGTATGCGCGCGCGGCCGTTTGCGTAAAATATAAAAGCACGCGTAGTGATGGTTTGAAATGGTATAAGCGGATTAAAGTACGCGTCGTCTGCCGAGCCATCTCTGGATTACCTCGTGAAGCAGAGAGAGAGAGAGAGAGAGGCGTTGTAAATAATTGTCAACGAAAATTTTGGTTTGCACTTGGCACTTTGCATTGACTAATTCCAATTTAACAACACGCCTTTTCACGGTTCGGTTCGTAATATTCTCTGAAATATAAAAGAGAACCGACATTCACATCGGATACAGCGGTCGGTACGGCAGACCGCTTTCAACCTTTATCTGCCTAACGCAGGTAACATTTTCAATTCGGGCGTATCGATATTGCCTCATTTTTACAAATTCGGTGAGAAGTCGATTCAAACTATGCGCAGTTGTATAAAAAAAGTTCAGACCATCTACCGAGCAGCGGGTGAAGATTTTTCCGGTGAAATAAGAAACCGATTCGCGCAGAGATTATATCGAGTCGCGTGACAGTTCCCTCTCCGTCGCTCCGGCTGGACGGAGTATTTTGCTTTCGCGCCACTAGATGGCAGCAAGTGCCGCGAGTACAACATGGACGCCTGGCATTGGCATCGCCATGGCAATCCTTTTGGCAGCTTCCTAACTATCGCCTTTTTTATACATTTTACACGAGTTTTTTGATATCAACGCATAGGTACAGTGAATGTGCGTGCGTGTACGTTATGACGTAACTGCGGTGCAGTGACCGCGGAGGCGCCCAAAAGAGCGTGGTAAACGTGAAAAGTGCGGTGAGTGTTTCTCGCGTTGGTTGCTTACAGTAACAGCTACTCACTTGTTTCGCGTCGATTTGTTTATAAAAGTCTCGGATATTCTTATCGCGACCTTTCTCGATCTTATGAGCAAGCGCGTCTTTCGAAACGACGAGCGATAATCGCCTCGGATGACGCCAAAACGTGTTGTGCTCCAAAGTATCAGTGTGTATATAACCTTTTCACATTTCACACAGTGTTCGGCTCTTTCGATTTCGCTGTACACGCGACATACGTTCCGGGTTTTCTCGTTGGCTCGTGTATGTCTCGTATCGTTGGTGCAGAGGGATCCTTGTGCGGTTTCACCGTCGCTTTTATTTTACGCGACGAGTGCATTCGAGGGGACGATATAACAGTGTTTGTAAACAATCGGGGGATTGACCCGTTGAATCTCTCAGAAATGTACAAACCCAGATGCTCAGTTCAGTATCACTGTCTTGTCCATCAACAGTCCACTCTGTGCATCTGTCTTGTACCTGTATCAGTTGATCGCTGACTGTATTCCATATTGTACTTGTAATAATGTTGTCAGTAGTTTTTCCACTTGTACCAGATTTTCTAATATGAGAATTGATGAGACATCTTATGTCTTACTATAGCAGGATGTGTTTTACCTGTTTCTACTGCTGATCTTGCGATTGATAAATTGAGAACTCGGTGGACTTGTATCGTAGCAAACAAAATATATGAGTCATTCAAGGTTTCGTTATCTTATCTAGCAAACGATACATAATATTTGGATCAAATATTTTTATTTCCTTGTTATCTGTAATGGTCAGTGTAGTTTTACAAGACCTGATAAACAAGGTTTTAAGAATAACATTCTGTATCCATTCCTGCATAGTTGCATATACTGCAAGTACACAAGTGATGTCAAAGCTCGCAGTGTGTGACTGACAGAGAGATAGCCAAATGAGAGAGAGAGAGAGAGAGAGGGAGAGGGAGAGAGAGAGAGAGAGAGAGAGAGAGAGAAATAATTACAAGTTTGTGTTACAAACTCCAGTCTGACCATATTTACGACCAATATTTAAATCTTTTAAATAATTAAATCTTTACGTCGTCCTATTTGTCGAAACGATAGATTCCACCTCTGATTCATGAGATAGAGCCAGACGGTATTTTTATCGTCGTACAAACATCTGTGTCCGTCGGCTAATATCAGTCCGGATTTGCACTCATTTAGAGCCGGGATTGTTTACCGACTCCTCGACATTGTGTCGACAGTATTCGCGTGTGCGCGTCGTTGACGCGTCGGTGAATAAACCAGCGTCTCCATGGCAACCCGCTCGTTCGTTAGCTGTTAGCGTCGTCACGAGATCGTTTCACGTGTTGTGACAGCTGGACCGAAACGTCAGATCGTGGCCGCAAGATCAAACGAACGTCGCGCGATTGCTCGCTCGCTCGCTCGCTCGCTCGCTCGCTCGTTCACTGGCGTTCAACCTCCAAGTCGTTTTTCCGCGCGTGTCACCGCGTTGTCACGTTGTGACGAACGATTTCCCACGTGTATGTCAACGTGCCGGCGTCGACGTCGTCGTCGTCGTCGTCGTCGTCGTTGTTTTCGTCTCGGAGGAAATCGCGTCGTTAGTTGTCAGTTGCTCGACCGCCATCGCCAGTTGACGGCGCGATCGTCGCTATTCGTTTAAGACGCGTGCTCAAACGCAACAACAATCGCGAAACGTACGTTCCTCGGTAGCACGGAGGAACGTATTGATTTTTCTACCGATATTAACGTGTCTCTACGATGTTTGCTTTCAGGGCGGACCTAACCACATTCAGAGTCTGAATAGCGACACAGGTGCGTACCCACAGGAACGTCCCACAGAGGGATGTTCGAGGTATCCGAGCAGTAGCGACCGACGCACGTATGTTTATTATTATGTTGCTTCTTTATCTTTAGCTTTATTTTCTTCCCGAGACTCTGTCGATCAGGATGACCACACACGTGTACGCGATAGAATTTCGTTTCTCGTGTGTTCTTTTTTTCTCTCTTCTCTTCGAAAGATTACGACTCGATTTTGGCTCACCGTGCGCGAGACGACTCTCTTACGGGATACTTACGGGTTATAATCGTTGTTGCAACAAAAACAATCAACAAAAAGCAATTAACTAATTCCGCGATATTTGCGCGAGAACAGAAGAGTAATAGTCCAGACGGCTAGCCAGTCGTAATTCTTAACAATTGTTATCTCCGCGCGCCGCGGAAAGCATCGCGGGCAATTTTTGTTCTTTTTGCTTGCTTTTTGCGTCACGCTGCCGCGATTAGCGATTTCCAAGAGCATAAATTATATTTTTAATTAACCGTAAATGATAAAGATATCCGAGTTATATGCAATGTTTACGTGGTCATCCAGCGGCTAATAATTTTCTCTCTCGTTATGTACAACACTGTTAGTTTTTGCGCGCACATATATGCAGATTTATTTGTAATTATCCTGTTGCCTCGTTTGCCTGGTTAGCCCACTTCTTCCAACGCTTCGTATAAAGATAGGTTCTTCCGGTGTTTCTCTCTTTGATTCACCAACACTTTGTTTTGGTATATTATTTTCATTCAAACTCAAAGATCTCATGGCAAGAGGCAAATTATTTATATCAAAATGACAAATACAACGACGGAAGCTTATGTGAGTACATTTCTCGTTTTTTGAGTTTATGTAAATTTTACATACATTATTATGAGTTATAATACAGTATATGCAATCGTGCATATTTTGTTGCATTTCATTTTTATTTTTGTTTACTATATTTAACTGGAAAAGAAAAGAGAGAATTTTGTATAGTATACCTTTATTAAAAAAGAGAGAGAACCTATACTAATATAGAGGCGGTTACTGTGAACAGTAAGTATACTAATTAGTGACACCAATGATACATTTAAGTCTATCGTCCACGTCCCGATATCGACAATATATTTTCCCCCAATTCTCGAGCAGTACGACTTCGTTTGTGACGATTATTGTGTACGAAACAATTTTTATTGTTCTATTGTATAATTTTAGAGCATCACCCGTTAAAACTGATGCAATAAAGTTTTGATGTATAATAATTTTAACTTGATACAAGCATCGTAACGTACGTGTACAAACGCGAACACGTTTTACCAAATAATTAAGTGAGACATTGCATATACAAGTGGAAAATGATTGCGTTACGTTTGTTGCGCGCATAATGCAGGTACAAACGTAATGAAGCCGAGAAGGATCCGTAGAACATTTTACCTCTCTGCTTTATCAATATACCTTCATCACGATATTAATCAAGACGAAAGATGTTTTATGCCGCGATGTAATGTATACATACACGAGGATACTTTGCCGATACTTGCGAAAGAAATTAAAACTGTATTAAAAAGTTTTAATAACTCGTGTTGCTGCCTGCTATCTCGGTATATCAACGGTTGTTTCTACTTACCTACCGACCAGTGTCGACCTTTACCGATAGTTTTATTATACCGACACAATTTAGTTGTTTGTTTATTTGTAACGGAAAATTTTGTGCACCTCCTGTCGAATATTCAACGGCCTCGCTTTATAACCGCGCGCGGACGCATTATAAAAGTAAAAAAATTTAACGCTCTTCAATTTTACTAGTACCAAGTAGGTAGGGATCTGTAACGTCGCTTTACCGAGTTCTATCGCGGCATACAACATCTTTTCTGGTTACTTGCAAATGGTAGTAAGTTCTCTCGTACCGACGGTACATCGATCGCTGCGTGCTTACCCTCGATTGCACTCCTGCCGTTATCGACTTCCACCCTGTCCCACCATGTCGATAATAATCCACCTCCCCGGTGGTTACAAAACATTCTCTGGTTCAGCGAAGCGCACCTACAAATTTTCTACCGTCGAGCGATCGTAAAAGATTTCTACCGCTGCTTATCGGTAGAAAATTTATCGTTGCACAGTAATTTATAAAATATTGCTGCGGTACAGAACGAAGTGTAAAGATCCATTTAATTGGCAATTGGTAAATAATGGCTGCAACATCGCCGCAACTTTCGTAAGAGGAAATGAATTCGATTTATACAGATCTACGGATAATTAAAGTAGCGGTAATTGACTTTACATGCTTTATTGAATAGTACAGACTGTGAAACCGTTGTTTCGTTGGCTGAATCAATACGACGCGCTTATGAACGAGCTACGCGTACTAAGCAAGATACGCATAAGTAGCTCGGGGGGGGCCGGGGAGGGGCGTACTTTTTCTTTGATTAATTACGTCTCGCGTACACTCATCGAGTTAGGCTCTCATGAACATGAAAGGCTTTGCTATTCACAGCGGAGCTGTGCGTGTATGTAGGCGGCGGTGAACAGACAGTGAGAGAAAAGGAAAAGGGCGAGAGGTACACGTGGAGTGGGTGTGGTGGCTCGTGTGCGGATTGCGTTCTCGCGCACACGAGCGCGTCGACTTCCCGACCGCGCGTTGTCGGGTATTATTTTTAATCACTCAATAGTCCGCTCGAACGCCCGAGTGCGAATCTCGAGGCAATGCGATTATCCGTAATTGGATTACGTTTGACTTCCACCTGTTTTCATGCAGATACGTTCGTTTCTTTTCGCATCGCCGGTAACGTCGGGTTGCCAATATCGTTTTTCCCCGTCTGCTTTTTTAAAGGAGCAATTCGCGCGTGCTAACTCTCGGCGGCTCGATGTAATTCGCGATGTAATTTAACGAGTCTATATCTCCCGGCGAAAGAATATGTTTGAATTGCAACGCCGTTCCCACTTGCGGGTAACTCCTCTCCGCATCTTTATTGGAAAAAAGAAGAAGCCAGACAGACAGACACACACACACACACACACACAGAGAGAGAGAGAGAGAGAGAGAGAGAGAGAGAGAGAGAGAGAGAGAGAGAGAGAGCTTTCTTGGAATTCGCGAGGAGCCGTCGGCTTCTGCGGATTTTTATCAACATCCTCTTATCCTTTTTAAATTGACCCTGAATTATGAATTCCCGGTCGCACGGGAGAAAGTCCCTCGCGTATATTGTGTCAAAGGGGCGAGGGGGTCTCGCGAGGGGGCGAGTAAACCAACAGCCGATAATCGATCATTCGACTCAGTAATTCCATTCACGACGCATATAAAAGAAAAGATAGGCATCGTGAACTTTCATCGTCAAGACGAGTGACGTGTGTCCTTTACGTCGGAGCGTTGCGTCGTGTTTTATAACGTGAATTAAGTGGAACCATTATCCACGGTTTCTATTTCACGCCGCTCTTTCTGCTCCATTATGATCCATTGAAATAGCGTTTCGTTAAATTTACACCTCGTTACTTCATTTCCGCTCTATCTCCTTTTCACGATTCGACAACATTTCTCGGGTTCTCGCGCGTCACGCCATTGTCGCACGGAGAGAGAGAGCCTGTGGAAAGAGAAATTTCTGTAGCTGGTATTTCCCAGCAGGATTCGAGGAAACTGTGAAACATTGTGAATATATCGGGGCTGGATGAGGTTTCCTCTTAATGAGTGGGAGTTTTCCAAGCTAGCGGATGACGTTAATGAAAAAGTGACTAGTTTCGTGTGTAGGATATAGCGAGCTTGCCTCACCATTGGACTTTAACCGCATTGCCGGATGAACTGAACCGGGCGAGAGGGAGTCCTGCTGGAGGCGGCGAGTAACTGACCGCAAAAGCGACGACGAGCTTTTTTTTTTTATTTATTTCTGTCTTCTTCTACGCGGAGAGCCCATTCGTTCATTAAACCCGGCCGCCCATGCAACACGCTCGCGCGCTAAACTAAAGTCGCTCGGCGCTGAGTTTTCTCGGACCGTATGGCACATCTCTCATTCTGTCTCTTCGCCGGCTCGAAACTCCTTGCCTCCTTCCTTCCTCCGAGCTATCCGCTGGTGTTTCTAGTGAGCTCGGTAACTCGGAAATGCGTGTGTCTAAATTGAAAACGTTTCAGACTCACTCTGAATAAAAGATCTGCTTACAGCAGGAGCTCTGGAAGTATCCCTTATCGATTTTGACGAGCCTGGGATAGATACATCGTGGAGAGGACAAGAATAAGAGATATCTATTTTTACAAGACCTTTTTCGCGGACGTTTAGGGGATAAAACAACCCCTCATAGCTGCTTTTATATCCCGACCCTTGGTTGTTAGTTTTACGTACGAATTTAAACGTTTTTATAAGGACGAAAATTGGTGAGATCTTTACGGCAAATTCAGGCAGATTCATTTAGTAAAATTATTTTCAGAGATTGCCTTTTTAAGGTAGCGGCAGTCGTAGAATTTAACAGCGCTCGAAGTGGCTGCAGACGTCCGTGATCGGACGAAACGCGGCACTGGTTCTGTCCGACCGTGCGCGTCTGTAACTACTTGCAGCGTTACGTTTATAACTCGCATCTCGGAAACGCGATGTCGGAAAATAATTTTATTACACACGGTTGGATTTGACGTAAAATTCTCCGGAAAAATGTTCATCTTTGGAAAAAATTTTCAGTTTCGTAAAAATAACGAAGAGCGAGGATGCAGAATCGGCTTTGAAAGTTGTTTCAATCCCTAGACGCGCTGAGAGACCCTCATTAAACACTCATTCCATAATTTCTTCATTTCAGCCTCTCTACAATATATCTGAGACTTGACAAAATCAATGGAGGATTACGCGACATGTACATGCATAAAGTAGAACGTTTTAATGACTCGTTTGAAAAGTAGAGCAAACAATATTTTAACGAAGGATAAGTGGGCGAAATGAGTGAACCAACTTGGTGTTATCTCTCTTGGCGTCTCGCCCACTTTTATTATTGACGTTCTCTACTCTTTCTCAGACCTTCCCTCCCTTTGGCTCACCGCCGATGGAAGTACGATTTGCTCTACATTCTCCAAGAATTCGCAGTCATTATCTTAACACGCTTCGTTTTTTTTT